TTTGCGTTAACAGTTACCCAATCACTTGACCGTGAGCGAATCCACAGTTATGACATCACTCTTCACGTGACTGACAGAGGAAGCCCTCCTCTGACCGGTAACGAAACGATCAGTGTTACAATTCAAGATGTCAATGATAACGGCCCAATGTTTCCTCAAACCCTCTATACCATTCATCTGATGGAAAACAACGCGCCCGGAGCGTTGCTAGCCTCACTAACCGCTCATGACCCAGACCTGCATGAAAATCAGTATCTGGTTTACTTCATCATAGAAAAAGAGATAGCCAACACCTCAATGTCCATGCTGTTTTCCATCAATCCTGAAAATGGCAACCTCTACGCTTTACGCACGTTTGACTACGAAATGGAGAAGGAGTTTCTGTTTCACATCGAAGCGAGAGATTCTGGGCTCCCTCCTCTTAGCAGTAATGTGACCGTACACATCATCATCCTGGACCAAAACGACAACACGCCCCTCATAGTTTCTCCCTGGCGTCCGCAGGGCACTGTCATAGAGCAAAAAATCCCAAGGTCGAGCGATAAAGGATCCCTGGTCACCAAGGTTATCGCGTTGGACGCCGACTCCATGCAGAACTCTCGTATAACATATCAGTTCCTGCAGATCACAGACACACCACTATTCAGCCTCGATCAGTACAACGGCGAGATACGAACCACGCGGATGTTCAGTTACAGAGACCCCAAATATCAACACCTGATCATCATAGCCAGAGACAACGGAGAACCTCCTCGCTCCGCCACGGTGACCATCAAGATCTCCACAGTGGACCAAGTGGTCACGCAGTTAACCGAAACCACAGAGGTTCCTGTCGGATACGACCTGATCACTGATCTAAACCTGTACTTGCTGATCGGTTTGGGGTCGGTGTTGTTTATGCTGCTCATTACCATCCTGGTGATCATCGTGCTGAAATGTCAGGAACCGAAGCCCTCACAAGCGGCTCCCCAGGGTAGGAACAGCATCCTCAGCCAGAGGAACTCCTCCACCATCGCTGACTCTACTCTCATCTCAAGTGATGCCTACTGGTACAGTCTGTTTCTGGCAGAGACTAGGAAAGGGAAGGTGGTGGTGCGGCAGCCCCTTCCTAACGGAACAGGGTTTATTGTGTCAAGTATCCCAGGAAGTGCTACGCTGACTGAGACCAGTGCATCAAGGTCTTCCACTTTACAGGTACTGGAACCACTATATGCACATACAGTGACCCCAAAAAGTACTCATAGGCCACACACATAAACAAGTCTGCATTAACATCAAGCCAAGTGCATTTATTTGAAATAAATATAGCTCAAGGACACTTTTTTAAGCAAAACATTTAACCCTCTGGTGCTGTTCGGTAATTTTTGACTGAAAAATGTTGTTTAGTTTTTTAGAATTAATTTACTTCATCAGAGTGGTACGAAACTTGGTAAAGGTTTTGGCACTTGCTGGGTGAACATAAAAAACAACAAAAAAAACAACAACAAAGGTTAAATGGTCCTGAAAAAAATAGTCACACTTGTATTGGTTGCGGTCAAAAATGATCATCGCATTGGAAATGAATAATAGATGAATTTCATCTATTGGGTACTGCGCACAAACAAATTCATACTGAAAGCTCATTTTTTGGAGATATTAACCGCAAATTTAGAATATACAGGTCCTTCTCAAAAAAATAGCATATTGTGATAAAGTTCATTATTTTCCATAATGTAATGATACAAATTAAACTTTCATATATTTTAGATTCATTGCACACCAACTGAAATATTTCAGGTCTTTTATTGTTTTAATACTGATGATTTTGGCATACAGCTCATGAAAACCCAAAATTCCTGTCTCAAAAAATTAGCATATTTCATCCGACCAATAAAGGAAGTGTTTTTAATACAAAAAAAAAAGTCAACCTTCAAATAATTATGTTCAGTTATGCACTCAATAGTCAATACTTGGTCAGGAATCCTTTTGCAGAAATGACTGCTTCAATGCGGCGTGGCATGGAGGCAATCAGCCTGTGGCACTGCTGAGGTGTTATGGAGGCCCAGGATGCTTCGATAGCGGCCTTAAGCTCATCCAGAGTGTTGGGTCTTGCGTCTCTCAACTTTCTCTTCACAATATCCCACAGATTCTCTATGGGGTTCAGGTCAGGAGAGTTGGCAGGCCAATTGAGCACAGTAATACCATGGTCAGTAAACCATTTACCAGTGGTTTTGGCACTGTGAGCAGGTGCCAGGTCGTGCTGAAAAATGAAATCTTCATCTCCATAAAGCTTTTCAGCAGATGGAAGAATGAAGTGCTCCAAAATCTCCTGATAGCTAGCTGCATTGACCCTGCCCTTGATAAAACACAGTGCACCAACACCAGCAGCTGACATGGCACTCCAGACCATCACTGACTGTGGGTACTTGACACTGGACTTCAGGCATTTTGGCATTTCCTTCTCCCCAGTCTTCCTCCAGACTCTGGCACCTTGATTTCCGAATGACATGCAAAACTGAGCAACAGTCCAGTGCTGCTTCTCTGTAGCCCAGGTCAGGCGCTTCTGCCGCTGTTTCTGGTTCAAAAGTGGCTTGACCTGGGGAATGCGGCACCTGTAGCCCATTTCCTGCACACGCCTGTGCATGGTGGCTCTGGATGTTTCTACTCCAGACTCAGTCCACTGCTTCCGCAGGTCCCCCAAGGTCTGGAATCGGTCCTTCTCCACAATCTTCCTCAGGGTCCGGTCACCTCTTCTCGTTGTGCAGTGTTTTTTGCCACACTTTTTCCTTCCCATAGACTTCCCACTGAGGTGCCTTGATACAGCACTCTGGGAACAGCCTATTTGTTCAGAAATTTCTTTCTGTCTTACCCTCTTGCTTGAGGGTGTCAATGATGGCCTTCTGGACAGCAGTCAGGTCGGCAGTCTTACCCATGATTGCGGTTTTGAGTAATGAAACAGGCTGGGAGTTTTTAAAAGCCTCAGGAATCTTTTGCAGGTGTTTAGAGTTAATTAGTTGATTAAGATGATTAGGTTAATAGCTCGTTTAGAGACCCTTTTCATGATATGCTAATTTTTTGAGATAGGAATTTTGGGTTTTCATGAGCTGTATACCAAAATCATCAGTATTAAAACAATAAAAGACCTGAAATATTTCAGTTGGTGTGCAATGAATCTAAAATATATGAAAGTTTAATTTTTATACATTATGGAAAATAATGAACTTTATCACAATATGCTAATTTTTTGAGAAGGACCTGTATATTTGGAATATACTTTTTTAAGTTCACTTTTTTTAAACTTCAGCAATAATCTGCTAAGTGTATTCTTTACAAACAGAGCAGAAAAAAGTCTGCAAAGTCTGTGATCCAAAGCATTCAAGATTTACGAAAGTTTAAGTTTTCGGGTCCATGCTCAAAACGTGAATAAATGGATTATAACTACTGCATGAATATAATTTAGTACCACAAACCCCCCATAACATACAAAATGGTAAATAAAAAAAAAAACATTATCGAACTAAAATATAGTACAATCATTTCATTTAAATACATTTTTTTTTTGGTCATTTTTGACCCACATGCAAATATTAAGAGGGTTCAAATAAATAAACTAATATTGTTCAAAATCACTAAGGCACATTTTGATTATCAGACATTAAATATATAAGTGTAAACCTGACTTTAAACATCCACTGAAAATGACTTTGGGCCTGTTTGTTAAAGGACATTTGGAAGAAAAAAAGTTTAAAAAGTGTGTACTGTAAACGATAAACAGCAACAAAACAGATCCGTTTTTTTATATTTATTATACATAAAGTTGGACACCCAGTGTTAATGCATCAGTATGTGTCTAAGTTTGGATGTGAGTGGGAGAACGAGTGACATGCAGTGATGGAGCTGTGAAGTAAAGGAAGACTTTTTACGTCAGCCCGAATCTGTCTCAGAGAGCTTTTTCTGAGCTGTCTCTAAATGGTTGCTATCCCTCACACTCATACTCAGATATGCAACCTTTTTAGAGTCTCTGTTGTACAATAAATATGAGACTACAATCTCTCAAATTAGAGATTGCACATAAAATTGCAATATAATGTATATATACCTAAAATGTATTTTTGTGTATTTAAGATTGGAAATGTATTTTCTTGTCCATTGAAGTACATTTGTAATATATTTTGCCATTTGGAGGTTTAAATCTATCATTCATCATTGGTTCCTTCAGCGCAAACGCATAGTGAAGCAAGTTTCCGGCGACAAATCGACACCTTCCCATCTGACGGCAGGTCTTCTCTGAGCGTTTGGTGACATGTTTTACAGGGTCGGCCCAGTAATGTTATGTTTTTCACCCTATTTTGTTTCTAAAACCTAATGTCCCATGTTACTATAAAAAACAACAACAACTAAACTATTCAAGAGCCATATACTGTAAATACATGAAGTTCAGCATTCCTGTAGCTCAAACTATAGCAATGGCAAGGTTTGATTTCCAGGGAGTGCACACACTTATAAAATGTAGATCTTTGAATGCAATGTAAGTTGCTTTGCCAAATATAAAATGTAAACATTCTGTTCTGCAGTCTTGACTGTTGGATTAACTGTGTTATCTTCCCTTGACAGGAGTCAAGCAGTGATTTACCATGATCTGGACATGTTGACTGATGGTTTACAACCTTCCACACCAGGCTCTGTCCATGAGGGACAGATTGAACTTCTGCTAAACCGTTTTTCAGGGTTTCATTAGATTCAAGACGAATTGGTCAAGGGGTCTAATTTGAGTTTTTAAATAGCAACCTGTGTGTGTAGCCTCAAGAGAGCATTTTGAATATTCGTTCATGTTTTATATTCATTTATAGGATTAGTCCTTTCATTTATTACTGTGATTTATTCATTTGACTTATTTTACTATCACTTCTTCTCCTGCTTACTGTTCTTCGCGTTGCCTTTTGGGCGAATTGAAGAATTAACTTTAATTCAAATTGACAGTTTCGGAGACCAAGACCAACATTGTGTCAGAGAAAGACATTAATTCATATTTGTGGTGATTTAATGCTGGGTCTAAGAACTATATGTCAGCCATTTGTAATCACATTGAGCATGACTTTGCATGGCTAAGACAAACAAGATGGATTTTTTGTATCTAAAAGATTTCTATACAGATTCTATGACAGAAGAGAGAGATACTGGTGGTAATTCATGACTACCAGAAGAACCTGGACTTTCACCCATTTGTGGTTCCAGTATAATATGAACTACAAAGACAAAGATGGATCAAAGTTCTGGTATCAATGGTGCTCTATTTTTGCATAGTTTCAATGCGCTGATGAGAAAGCTGTGATCAGATGAGCACAAGTGAATGAGCAGGCATGGTCTATACCTCGAAACATTTGGTTTGACATCTATGTAGTGCACATGCACACATAGATTCATGTTTATTTTTCTCCTGCCCTGTAAACGGCTTAAACTTGATTTTCTCTGGCAAGAGCATTTTGAAAATTAAAGTATTTTAAATCCGATAAAGTAATAATTACATCAGCATGGCAATTGCCATAGTGATGTGCCATAATTTTTACTGAAAACCAAGGAGACAAAAATGTGCAAATCCAAAAAAAGGTAAAAACAAGTATGAATCTAGCTTTTTGCAGATATATAGCCAGTGCCAGAATATTATCCTGCCACAAAAATGAATAATTGACAACAATAATATATACTTTTTTTGTACGAGAATCAACAATTGTATTATTAAATTGCTATTCAGTGTCATTTATGGCCTTGTTTACTGAAGTTTTTGAAGTTTATATTGTTTTGTATTATGAAAACAAGAAAAAATGTATTTAATGCTGCTTCTTTAATGCAATGTTTTAAGAAATTATTATATGTGGTGAGATATTTGGCAGTTTCGTTATATCCTTATTATGTAGACCTAATTATACCATTACAGAAATTCAAACTACATTCCTTTCCTTATATAAAAATGATTTGTCGCAGCTATGAAGAAGGAGTGGGAAGGTGGAAAGGAGTGCAAGAAAATGTGGTGTAGGAGGAACAAGGAGAAAAAGAGAGGGGGAAAACAGCAATGTAGGTCACTTGAAACTCTGTATTTAGATTGAAACATGCTGTGTGACCAGAACACGAATGACACTCAAAGTTACCATAATAGTATTGAAAGCCATGTAATTCAGTTGAAATTACTTTGCTGAAAGGTGACAGCTCAAATTGGAGTTCCTAACAGCAGATTTGAGAATTTAGAGATAAATGACACAAGTAAAAAAAAAAAAAAAAAAAAAACTGCTGTGTGCCTTAGGGCAGAGAAAAGTGTGCCTGAAATTTAAAACAGCCAAAACTGGATGAAGTTTAGTATTGTAATACTATTAGCATATACTCATACATCACAATCTCATCGACATGCCTTGGGTTACTCGTTTCGGTGTTTGTATTTACTTACTGTTGCCTTTACTTGCGAAATGTCCTTATGCAAACAAAGTAAACAATGCCTTTGTGTCCTTGCTGGACGGTATGATTTGCCCTTTGCTTGTAAATACAGCTGTAAATAAAAGCTTTTACAGTATATTTCTGGAGTTTCAGACTCACTGTCTTGAATTGTGAGAGTGTGTGTGTGATCACATAATGACAAAACACACCGTCCGTCTCATTGGTGCTGACCTAGGCAGCACTGCCTCCATAGAAACAGTCACCATGACAACACCTCCCTCTCTTCAGATTTAGAGAAGCACACCGTTTTTTAACCTCCCCAACTCATACTGTCAAACTGCCCGTTTCTCTGCCTCTCTTTCTAAAACACACATGCAGATTCTCATGCACGTATGTTTTCAGGCCTTGACACATGATTTATACTGTGATTCAGAGTACAGATCTGAGTATCGCATCAAACATCTTCTAACTGAAGCGATAGTTATAAAATACACATTAAAAAAATATATTAAAATAATTAGACAGTCTCAATGAGCTGCCCATTTCAAATTTATGTTGGTGTGCTTCTATAATTTGTCTGTGTATTTCTTAAGGATTTCGATCTTTTTGACTTGGGAAGTCAAGGATATACACACAACCTAGGTGATCTGGTATTGTATAGGCAGGAGAGAAATGCTGCTGACACCGTCTAATTTCTGCCACTAGTGGGGGTTATTTAGCACTTCAAAGCTCGGCACAGCAGACTGCAGATGCAACGCGATCAGTATCTCACCACAGGCCACTTTACGTGCTGTAGCTGGTCTGCCACGGCTTCTGTACTGTCGCACGTAAAGTCTCTTACTTGACGTGACAGACAACAGACACGGAACTCAGAATTCTTTGCTCAGTGTTTTTCTTTGTTATTGATATAATACCACCCGAAGCAACAAAACACAGAAGTACCATTTAAACTGTTCTAAAGTTTAATTTTTCATTATCCCATGTTTAATTTAGAGTGCACTACACATGTATATATCTATAAAATATATTTATCTCTTGCCCTTATATAATTTTATTCAAGTGTGCTATTAGTAGGCCTATACGTCTTCTGAACTAAAAATAAGAAAGCATACTTTTTATATACACTAGGCCTACCGTTCAAACGTTTTGGGTCAGCAAGAATTATTATTATTTTTTTAGGGGAAAGAAATACAATAAATCAATACTTTTATTCATCAAAGATGAATTAAATTGATCAAAAGTTACAGTAAAGACATTTATAATGTTACAAAATATTCTATTTCAAATAAATGCTGTTCTTTTGAACTTTCTATTCATCAAAGAATCCTGAAAAAACTGTTTCCAGCATTGATAATAATAATGAATGTTTTTTTTAGCATCAAATTAGCATATTCAATTCAATTCAATTCAGTTCAATTGTTCAATTGTTCCTATTTTTTATATATATATATATTTTTAATTTTATTTATTTATTTATTTTTTATTTCAAGCATACAATGAAAAAGTGTACAATATGTACAACAAAAGACAATAATCGAAAAAACACTGATGATCAAACAAATAAAAATTCACCACTGCTTGAAAAGGAAAATTTCCCACCCCCTCTTTCAAACTCTGTCACATGCCTGTCCTGTCTTGTGTTGCACTTGGGTGTTTGTTGTTTGGTACCATGTGTTCTCTTGTCATTGTATACCCCGCCCATCTTGTTATCTCATTATTGGTTCATTTGCCCCACCTGTCTGTTCGTTAGCCTCCTTTGTTTGCCTCTCTATTTAATCTCCTTGTGTTCTCAGTACTGTGCTGGTTCGTTGTCCATGTTACCCTGGTTCATGTTAATCGTGTTTTAGTGTATCTTGTATCCTGCCTGTTTTCTATCTAGTTTTCCCCCACGAGGGAGTTTTTGTTCTTGTTTTATGTGTTATTATTTTCTTAATAAATACCCATTGTTTGCACTTGAGTCCTCACACCTTTTTCCCAACCCGTTCCGTGACAGAACGAACCAGCCATCTGAGGATTCAGCACGATGGGTGAGGAGGATTCTGATTGTTGGGATTATGACGCTTGCATGGATGACGATGACTTGGATTGCCCGGACTATAGTATTGCTACATTTGGATCGACACAATTCTCGACGATCTGTTGTGACGGAAGGACTTCGCCAAAACCTATTTCCAGCGGTATGGTTTCGAACTTCTCTTCCCCAGCCACTGAGCGGGAGAGGACCAATTTTCAGGGGACCCGCCTGGTAATTTTTCGTGGGACTCGGGGAGGTCGTGGAGGAGGAGGTGGTAGAGAGGAGGTTCAACACCACCCTCCATCCTGGCCCCCCTTCGATCCTGGGCCAGTGAGAGACAGTTCAGGACCAACTTCTCGCCGTCACGGACGGAAAGGGAGGAGGGGACGCACATCTGTCCAGCGAGAGACTGTCCACGTCCCGTCTGCCCAGCGAGAGACTGTCCACGTCCCGCCTGCCCAGCGAGAGACTGTCCACGTCCCGTCTGCCCAGCGAGAGACTGTCCACGTCCCGTCTGCCCAGCGAGAGACTGTCCACGTCCCGTCTGCCCAGCGAGAGACTGTCCACGTCCCGTCTGCCCAGCGAGAGACTGTCCACGTCCCGTCTGCCCAGCGAGATACGGTTAACGTTCCGTCTGCCTTCCTGAGCTGGGACTATCTGGAGCGTCTGGCTCGGATATTGGAAATGCCCGTTCCAGAGGCAGAGGCCATGCCCGTTCCAGAGGCAGAGGCCATGCCCGTTCCAGAGGCAGAGGCCATGCCCGTTCCAGAGGCAGAGGCCATGCCCGTTCCAGAGGCAGAGGCCATGCCCGTTCCAGAGGCAGAGGCCATGCCCGTTCCAGAGGCAGAGGCCATGCCCGTTCCAGAGGCAGAGGCCATGCCCGTTCCAGAGGCAGAGGCCATGCCCGTTCCAGAGGCAGAGGCCATGCCCGTTCCAGAGGCAGAGGCCATGCCCGTTCCAGAGGCAGAGGCCATGCCCGTTCCAGAGGCAGAGGCCATGCCCGTTCCAGAGGCAGAGGCCATGCCCGTTCCAGAGGCAGAGGCCATGCCCGTTCCAGAGGCAGAGGCCATGCCCGTTCCAGAGGCAGAGGCCATGCCCGTTCCAGAGGCAGAGGCCATGCCCGTTCCAGAGGCAGAGGCCATGCCCGTTCCAGAGGCAGAGGCCATGCCCGTTCCAGAGGCAGAGGCCATGCCCGTTCCAGAGGCAGAGGCCATGCCCGTTCCAGAGGCAGAGGCCATGCCCGTTCCAGAGGCAGAGGCCATGCCCGTTCCAGAGGCAGAGGCCATGCCCGTTCCAGAGGCAGAGGCCATGCCCGTTCCAGAGGCAGAGGCCATGCCCGTTCCAGAGGCAGAGGCCATGCCCGTTCCAGAGGCAGAGGCCATGCCCGTTCCAGAGGCAGAGGCCATGCCCGTTCCAGAGGCAGAGGCCATGCCCGTTCCAGAGGCAGAGGCCATGCCCGTTCCAGAGGCAGAGGCCATGCCCGTTCCAGAGGCAGAGGCCATGCCCGTTCCAGAGGCAGAGGCCATGCCCGTTCCAGAGGCAGAGGCCATGCCCGTTCCAGAGGCAGAGGCCATGCCCGTT